AATATCATCATATTTGTTCATAGAACCTTCAAATCTTCAAGCATCTCCCAAGTGTTCTTGACTTGGAAACTCCTTTTCTTCATCATCCATATACTGAAATCACTCAAGGTGAGTTCATACCCCTACATTTTCATGTTTTCTTCAAGTTTTAGGGGGGGGGGGGGATACAAGTTAAAATACCAAAAACTTAACTAAAATCAAACAACAGCTTTCATCAGAAAAGTTGAGTCCTATTCACGGACTGTTTTGACCAACTTAGACTTAATATCTTTCAAAACTGTTTAATATGCAAATAGTTCAGGTTCATACCTTTAAAATGACTACTTGCACATCTCCATACGATTTTTCTACAATTTATGGAGATTTTTACAAAACTGCCTATCATTTCAGAAACGAATTCGGACCAGTCTGTGAATATGAACATTTTCACACAAGTTAGGGACTTCTAAATATCATAATAAAAATTATTAATAAACTAGACACATTTTCTAAACTCTCAGAGTTTACGGATTCAGTTTTCGACTTCGTATGATTTTTCTAAAACAGTGCAGATAAGTTAAAGACTACTTACATAGTTTACAATATTAACAACACTTTGTAGTATGTTGAGCAAAGTGCATAACAATAAGTTTCTAAATGTTGAATGTATTTCTTGTTAGTTTATCATCATAAACAAAAATTAGTCATTCTTGATAAGGTTTTCATTCATTTCGAACACATATAATAAACTACAATAAGTATAGTTTATGGATTTTACGATAAAAGCACACTACATGAAAAAGGTTTTACACTCAAAACAAATGGGTTTTTCATATACTACACGATCAACTATAATAGTAATAGTTTATGGATTTCATATCACTAATTTATTTCATAAAAGGTGATTTCACTTCCACCGCGGAAGAGGTTCTATACTCAAACACTATGTAAACTAGTTAACGTAAGTTGTGAGACAGTTCTTCCATCGTACTCTTAGAGTACGGGTTCAAATTCCTGTAAGTTATAACCAGAGTCTCTTGTAGGGAGAGCGTGATAATTGTTTACAGATCTATATTGGGATTGACACCCCACACCTCGCTGCTAGCTACAGCCGGACCTGCAGGTCTACGGGTGACAAGAGTCATAGGATCTTAACGTCTGGAAAACGTTGTTGCAGGTTATTTCTCGTTGTAGTATGGTTATAACGACTCACATAGGGAGTTAACAATCTTTCAAGTTTACGGGTAAATTCTATTTTAAAAAGGGGTTTTATTTATCTAAAACCGCACATATTCTCGGTCTTAGGATTTAAGACTACATGACTTTTATAAGGAAAATATTGGATTTTCTTTGAAAACACATCACTATTATAAACAGTATAAGTACAAAACACACACATATTCTCGGTCTTGGGATTTAAGACTAAATGACTTTTATAAGGAAAATATTGGATTTTCTTTGAAAACACATCACTATTATAAACAGTATAAGTACAAAACACACACATATTCTCGGTCTTGGTATTTAAGGCTACATAACTTTTTATAAGGAAAATAAGGGATTTTTCTTGAAATATACATTATAAAGTATCAGGTTTACACTAAATGGATTTCATGATATTAAAACTACGTTTCATCTAGAATTGTTAGACTTCAGCTATAATTGCTAAGTGTACATGTTAGAGTAATATAAGAATTTAGTCGCAATCAACTTAGAATTGGTGGGCCCGCCTTACTTCCTGTTCATTGTTTGGTTGTGGACCTAGGGCAGACCCATTATATTCGACGGTTTATTTAACTTAAATTTTATATAACTTATATACACTGGGTGATCATAGAAGGAATCTACGGGTCTTTCTAGGGTACATTATTGCATAACATGGGAGCGTTCATTTCACACTCAATAAAGAAAATAGTGAATTTTCCGAGATCATACTCTATCGCTTTTACAAGGAAAACGGCTTCTTTCTCAAATAAAACTCTTATGAACTCACCAACTTAATTGTTGACACTCTTTCAAAACTACTTGTATTCTCAGGAAATCAGAGAAACAGGAAATCAACAGCTTTTGAGGATGGGATGTTAAATCGTCAAACATTTCATTTTGTCATCATAGTGTAATTGATTTGAAACATGTAAACACATACTATGGTGTAACTTTTTCAATTATATTTATGATGGTTGTATTTACTTTGAGCACTATTATACTCGTTGTTGTGATACTATACATGAAGTCCTCCACCCCCGGACGTTTCCGCCATCCTTGGTTTGGGGGTGTGACAGAAGACCTCGCGCAGACGTTTTTATGTCTGCACACTTCAGAAAAACAAACACACTACAAACCTTTAAGTCTGCGCATGGTCTGCGCCGCGCAGACAAAAGAGCCCACGCAGATCTGTAGAGAAAAAACAAACACCCTCTTAGTCACTAAACTTTTAAAAAAAATTAAAAGTTTAGTGACTAAATAGAGCACAATTTTAAAAGTTGGGTGACTAAATGAGCACAAATCCAAAAGTTAAGTGACTAATGTGCTGTTTATTTTTTTGAAGCAAAAATTCATGAAGTCTGCGGACCACCTCTGCAACCATTTGCAGTAGAAGAGGTGAACCAAACGGTTGCAGACTGTAATAAGAAGTGTGTTTGTTTTTTTAACATCTGCATGCTGCTGCAGATAATAAAAAATTAAAATAAACTGATTTTATAAACCTAAAATAGTTTTTTACTACTGAAAATTTAATAATGTATGACATTTCAACAATAATTTATGATATTTCAGCAAAAAGTAATGATATGTCAACAAAAAATAAAGATATTTTAGCACAAAAAATGATATTTCATCAAGAAATTATTATTATTTAATATAAAAAACGAAAAAAATAACAACAATAAACAAAAAAAACGAAAAAAATGTAAAATAAGATTTCAGCAACATATAATCAAGATTCCAGCAAGAAAAAGGAAAAATAAGAGGTTGGAAGAGGCACTATAAGTGTTGCACCAAACAGAACACGCGTAAAAGTTTTTTACTTTGAAGACTTCTAAAAAACAAACAGCTGCGAGATCAAAAATGTTGTGTGTATGCTGCGTCGCGCAGCAATAAGAGGTTTGAAGAGGTTTTTTTACAAAAAACAAACAACACCTAAATGAGCAAAAAGTCAAAAGTTTGATGAACTTTTAAAACTTAAAAAGAGTTAAGTGACAAAATGAGCACAAAATCAAAAGTTAAATGACCAAAAATGACATAAACCCTAGAAATAAACTTGGTCATCAAACGATTCATGAACCCCCCCCCCCCCCCCCCCCCCCCCCCCCCCCCCCCCCCCCCCCCCCCCCCAAAGTGAATTATGGAATTTTGTTGGAAGAGAAAATGATGGACTGTTTGCTAAGAAGACTCTTAGTCAAGAGATTTTCAATATTATTATCTTTATAATGATAATAATAATAATAATAATAATAATAATAATAATAAATCAAAATGGTTTTTCCGATACCAAATTTGGTAGTTTTATTGAATTATATACAGAACTTAATGGTTTATTGAAAAAATAATGTTTGATATTTTGATAGTTTTATTAAATTATATACATAACTTAATAGTTATTGAAAAAAAATAATATTTGATATTTAACGGTGATATGCTAATAGTATATGAACAATGATTTTTTTCTTTTAATATTTATAGATGCCATCTGTTTTTCTGCAAGGAAAATTAAAATAACAAATTTTCAAATCAAATATTTAAAATATAATGGTTTTTCTGAAATTTTCTCCATTTCAAACGTCTTAATATTAATTATTCACAAGTCATATAATTAGTAATTTTATTAATGTTATTTGTATAGGATTATGTAATTTTATTTTTAATATTTTGTTTATCTATTTTTTTCATGATATATATACTCAATTTTGCATAATTTTCTATTTTACTTATGATGGAACTTTACAATATAAGGCTATTATTTTGTACTAATCAAAAGTTAAAATATATAATTTAAAAATCAACATAGCATTGAATGTAAATATAGGATGGTTAATTAAAAATGAGTTTTTTTGTGATTAAATTAAAGAAAAATAGAAAAATATGAAGTTTCTATTATTTAAATTTTTTTAAATTTAAAATATTTTTGTTTAAATTGGATTATGAGTTTTTGTGGTTAAAGCTATTTTTCCAAAACAATTCAAAGTGTTTGTGGTTAAATTATATGAAAAATATCAGACAGTCAAACCTAAAAAAATATACAAGTTACAGTATTTTTTTAAAAATTTAAAGTTATCAGAAAACTGTTATATCCGGTTGCAATGAATTTTTTAATAAATCAAAATCTCACAGTTAAATAATAAAAATACTCTGGATAAACCAAAAAATTATTAAATTGAACGATTTTATGAATTTTGACCTACAAAATAAGAAGAGTAAATTACTTTAAATCACAACGATCATTCCTATAATTTACTCATATAAGAATGATCTAATTTTTTACTAGAGGAACATAATGAAATGACATGATATTTATGTGTCATTCTAAAAGGGAAATTTCACAAATCCTAACGTCTTTTTTTTTTAAGTTCTCCCCCTATCTTTGTAAATTTTACTGGCTTCGTCATCATCTATCACCATAATGAAATTCATAAGCAAATCAAATTTAGAACGTTCAACTTTATGAACAAAATCGAGTAAAACCTAATTCAAACCCAAATTTCGGATGATGATCTGGACAAAGTTGGTTTAAACCAAACCTAAACAGCACAATATATGGGTTTGCTCTTTATGTGAATATACATGCATTGCTTCTTGTTAGTGGTCCCACTTTAACTATATAATCTCAATTCTCAAATAGTGTTGTAACAAGTTCATAAAAGAAAACCATGAAAACTTTAATTTTTTCTATTGTATTACTTTTTTCCCTAGTAACAATTTCTCATTCCCTCCCCTTGACAACACAATCAAAATGGGTCATTGATGAGTTGAACGGTGAGCGAGTCAAGTTCAAGTGTGTGAACTGGCCTTCTCATCTACAACCCATGTTAGTAGAGGGGCTCGACAAGAAGCCAATAGGTTTCATTGTAAACCAGGTTGCTTTCTTTGGGTTTAATTGTGTTCGACTCACTTGGGCTACCAATATGTTTACACGTTATAGCAACAAAACCGTTGCACAAACTTTTCGTGATTTAAGCCTTACAAATGCAATTAAAGGCCTCGAGATAAATAATCCTCAATTTTTACCTCTCACGGTGGTTGATGCTTTTTCATTAGTGATAGGTGTGATTCAATCTTATGGAGTCATGGTGATACTCGACAATCATGTGAGTGAACCAATGTGGTGTTGTTCCAACAATGATGGAAATGGATTTTTTGGAGATAAGTATTTTGATCCGGACGAATGGTTAGAAGGTTTATCTATCGTGGGAAAACGTTATAGAAATACTCCTATGGTAAGTATTAAATATTTGTTTTAGTCATATGTTCTACAATAAATTACATTTTTCATCCCTATGGTTTGCTGATTTATCGGATATGGTCCAATAGTTTGTTTTTTTTTAACTTTTGACTGATAAAGAACTTCAAATTTGTAGGTTGTGGCTATGAGTTTACGGAATGAGCTACGTGGGCCTCGCCAAAATGCGAATGATTGGTATCAGTGGGTTCGTAGAGGTGCTAGCACTATCCACAAAGCTAACCCTAATGTGTTGGTTCTTATCTCTGGTTTAAACTATGACCTCGATTTCAGTCCATTAAAATCTGAGCCTTTAGGCCTAGACCGTGCGTTACCAAACAAAATAGTATATGAAACACACAGATACTCGTTTACAGAGGGACAAAGGTGGCTACGTCAACCACTAAACCAAATGTGTAGTAATGTTATTCGTGATATAAATAATAGGGCAGCATTTTTAACAACAGGGTCAGATCCTGCCCCGTTGTTTATTACCGAGTTTGGCGTGAACTTAATGGGTACACGCCAAAGCGACAATGTTTTTTTGCCTTGTTACATGGCTTTTTTGGTTGAAATGGACTTGGATTGGGCCGTATGGGCTTTGCAAGGAAGCTATTACATTAGACAAGGGGTCCAAAATATGGATGAACAATATGGACTCCTTAATAACGATTGGGAGGGGCTAAGAAACCCTGATTTTAACGCGAAGTTGTTCCTCCTGCGTCAAACTCTTCAAGGTACGTTTTGATTAAGATTTTTTTTAGACAAAACTTCAAAAATGGTCCCTGTGATTTTCGAAAATATCAAGTTTAATCCCGAAGTTCAAAAAACCTCACAGATGGTCCCTGTGGTTTCAAAACTTTTAACAAATTGTCCTTTTCGCTAACTCCGTTAGTTTTTGGCCGTTAAGTGAAGGGTATTTCTGTCATTTCACTGCCACATGACCATTTATGAAGATTTGCCTTATTTTTAAAAAATAATAATTATTATTATTTAATATTAAAGGGTCCCACCTCTCTTTCTCTCTCTCTCTCTCTCCTAAAAAAGAAGCTACAACAATGGAAGCTGCAACAGTCATGTTACTAAACCTCACTCATTCAAATCCCCCGAAATCCCTCGAATCACTCCATAGATCTCACACCCAACTCTACCATCTATGATTCTTAATGAAATTTCCAATTCACAACATCTGGGTTCAACTTTTTCTACTCATCGTCTTCCCCATACACACCCACAAATAAGAAAAACCCAAAATCGAAAACTCCATATTTGTCCACCGAATCACATCCTAAGAAACCGGTCTCGGCCAATGAAGAAGCACTACTAGGAACGATCCAAAATTGCAAAACCGGAATCCCACAAGGTAAGCATCGAAACCCAAAAAAAAATTGAAGATATAATTTGGCAAATAGGGCATGAAGCCGCCTGTGAGAAGCATGAAGATGGTGGCTAAGAGAACCAAGAAGGTGACCGGGGTTGGGAATAGAGTGACAAAAGAGGGGTTTGTACATCAACAAGAAACAAATATGTCTACTCATTCTCCTGGAATCGATTCAAAGTACAAGGATGGGGTTAGGCTGAGTTCACAGAGCTTACCAAGAGTGGGGGAGGAGAGGGAACTCGGTGGCGTGCGGCAGGGGGCTGCTCCGACGGCCTTCTGCTGCTTCTCTTCTGTGTTTAATTGGACGGAGATACGAGTGGGGGAGGAGGGGGAACTCGCTGGTGGTCGGAATCAGCAGTGGCGGTGGTTGTAGGTGGTTTTCTCTCCGGTGAAGGTGGTGGATGGCGGTTTTCGGCCTTTCTTGCAACAGAAATGGTGGTGGTGGTTGATTATTTGAATAGGAGAGGGACGGAGGGGGTTACTAGTCAATAACAATGGCAGATGGTGGTGATTCACGGTAGTTAACGCCACCGGTGTTGGTTCTTTAATGGAGGCAGCAATGTCTTTTGACCACCCTTCGTGGTGGTGTCGTTTCTTGACAGTAGGTTCATGAGTAGGAGAGAAAAAGGAGGTGAGGTGGTGATGTTTGATCGAATCAATGGTGGGGATGTGGTATTTCATGGGTCGTCCTGGGTTTAGTTTAAGAGCAACCAAACAAATGCTCTAATTAATTATGCAATATCTCATTTGATCAGGAAGAAAGAAGAGTTATCATTTTTCTGCATTTAGGGCGTTGACTTTCAAGGGGAGAGAGAGAGAGAGAGAGAGAGAGAGGTGGGACCCTTTAATATTAAATAATTAGTTTTTTTTAAATAAGACAAATCTTCATAAATGGTCCCTGTGGCAGTGAAATGACAGAAATACCCTTCACTTAACTGCCAAAAACTAACGGAGTTAGCGAAAAGGACCATTTGTTAAAAGTTTTGAAACCACAGGGACTATCTGTGAGGTTTTTTGAACTTAGGGATTAAACTTGATATTTTCGAAAACCACAGGGACCATTTTTGAAGTTTTGTCTTTTTTATGGCTTTAATAAGTTAATAGAAGAAATTGATTTATATATTTTTATTTTTGTTATAATTTTGTATATCTATAAATATATAATTACAACAAAGTTATTTAAATATAAGACAGATTAAATAAAAAGAATTTGTAGATTTTTTAAACTATAGTTCATATTAAGAGAAAAGAAATTTATATAATTAAATAATAGAGAATTGTAAATAGAATCTAAGAGGGAGAAAATGATAGTAGGAAGTCATGTATTTTAGCTTTTTGATTAATTAATATATTTCGCAGAGTTCTCTCAAATTTTACTTCAGTAATTATATAATTCAAAATCATAATGGTTGAACTGATAATCTGTCTGATTGTTAATTTTTACAAATTTTTTCATGTAGTTCCACAATGGAGATCGAGCAACTACACATTCTTGTTCCACCCAATGACCGGACGTTGTATACGATCCGATTACAAGGACCAGCTCTTTGCAGATGAATGCCTTTGGTTGAACGGGTGGAGTCATGGCGGTGATGGGACTCCGGTGCAACTCGCAAGCACTCCGTTATGTATCACGGTGGCCGGAGACGGGCTTCCGGTGAAGCTAACCACGGATTGCAATGCAAAACAAAGCACGTGGCAATCGGTAAAAAACTCAAGGTTCCAAATCTCAAACAAAGATGAAAATGGTGTGGATCTTTGCTTGGATTTTGATCCAAAATATTCGTCGAGGATTGTGAGCAAGAAATGCATTTGTGTAGATGATAATGATTCTAGATGCCTTGCAAATCCCCAAAGTCAATGGTTTCAATTTGTTTCCACCAACAATAGATTTGTCTAAGGTTATTTTACACACTAAAGTATGTTTTTCTTTCGGTGTATTGGATAGGTGGTTATATAATACCTACACTTTACTTTATTTTATTTATGGAATTAATATTAACTGTTATTTGTTAAATACTTTTATATAAATTTATAAATAAAAATTTTAGTTTTCAATTTTCGACTAGTTTTGCCTATCAAAATATAAACCAATAAACCATTATTAACCACCAAAATGACCACAACTCTCAATATAACTAAGAGATACATTTTAAAGTGAGATGACTTGTTTGTAAAATAGAATGATTAGGTTAACAAATGACATTAGTAGGACATCATTTTGGGTTGTCTTAATCTATTCCTACTCTAAGTAACATGTCATCAATGCTTAGGAAACATTAGTGAGGTATTTTATTCAGAGTACAATAGCTACATATGCAAGAAAAAAAGACAGTTAAAATTGTATTTGACAGACTATTCGAAAATCTAATTTTTATGCAAGTGATAAGGTAGCTGATAGTTGATTAAGTAATAGGTTTGATAAAAACGAATTAATATGCTAAATGCTGAATATAAAGGGGATGCCTCTACTAAAAACTTGTCAAAATACAAACTTTAAAAAAAAAAAAAAAAAAACATTTACCCAAAATGAGAAGATAGCTCTTAAAAAATAATAACTGCAAACTAAATTTGTGTATCCGGATTCTCCAAATCCCCAATTTTGGGACCCATCTCACTCGTACATTTCCAAATGACACAATCTCTTAAATGTCCTCATGAATTACAAAACCAAACTAATCATGCAAACTTCCCAAGATATCATGATCGTCATACAAATGATACCTGAAATTAATACCAGTAATTTAGTACATATTATATTATGCAACTTAAACAATATATTATATAAAACCACCCAATTATACCAATGAACATTGCTTTGTATTCCTATGACATAATGACATTGCTATAACTAGGTGGATTTTTTGATTTTTCAAAATAAAAAGATGTAATAGAACAAAATGAAAATAGGAGGCTTTAAATGTAATAAACAAATATATAAAAGTATAGTGCTCTATTTCAATTTTAACCCTAATAAAAGAATATCAAAACATCTTGCTTAATTTTGATTAATTTTCATGAAGTAAACATGAAGCTTGATTCATCATTCGAAGCATCTCAAATTGAACAAACATAAATGGATCAATTTATTTAACAACTTTTTGGCCCTCTATATGGATAGACATCTATCTATACACTTTTATCTAAATCATGAACCAAAAATATGCATTTCTCATTACCTACTATGAGTTATGACAAAATACATGCACAAGCTCTATGTCTTGCAATCTAAACTCTGAACCCTAAACCCTAAACCCTAATTAAAAAGAAGTATTAAATCAAGATATGGAAGGTTGTAATGTTTCAGATTGTAAGAAACTAATACTTACTTCTTTTCATCAAGTTTCACTTCTGTTCCTCCATACTCTGCTAGTAAAACAGTGTCACCTTCTTTCACACAGAGAGGCACCAACTTCCCTTCTGCATCACGTGATCCAGGGCCCACAGCAATAACTTTACCAGAGTTTAGCTGATTCAATAACCCATAATCATTTCACCAATTGAAATCCAAGGAATCTACTTCAGAAACTAGCAAATTTTGACTGATAAAAGAGATTCACAAAGACAAATTTCAATCTTCGTGGCGTCCTAAGAAGAAGGTATAAGGCCCTGAGATTTCTGTAAATTTTCCGCTTACTTTAAAAGTGAATAAAATCAAGTAGGTGATAGAAAAACATGAAGGTTCCAATGATTGATTGTAATCTTCTAACGAAGTAAATGAGCGCAGATTGACATCTCTAGATGCAATTACATAATAAAGGAATAATATGCATGTGCAGAGGAAGAGTGAACACATAAAATAGGTCTAGGTTTCACTGATTGGTGTAATTAGAAATCGCATCAAAATACATGAATCTTCATACATCTTCAGGTCCATGGCCCATGTATGTGCACAAGGGATCTAGATCTAAAAAATAAAGGGAGGAAATGGTAACCTTGGAGGAGGCTTCTGGAAGCAGAATACCGGTGTTGGTCTTTGATGGAGGAATTATTTTCTCAACCAGAACACGGTTAAAACAAGGAATTAAACGCTTCGCCATTTTCGATCGAAGAACGAAAAGCTGAAAACAAACCAGAGTCCAGAAACGGAGAAAGAAGACTGGGGTTTTTTGGAAACGAAAGGGTTTGGACTTTCTAACCTAGAAATAGTGAAGTTTGAAATTTGTACCCTTGTATTATTGTCTAGTTACAAATGCTTCCCTACACTATAGGAAATTCTAGAAAAATTCCTAAAAACCGTCATATTTGTAATTCGAGGGGTTAATGTTTAGTTTTAGATTTCAATCACGACAAAACTTCATGATCTAAGTCTATGTGGTTTCCAAAATAACAACTGAATAATAACATTGGACAAGGCTACACGGCTAATTGTTATTATTTCAAACTTTTGAGAATAATTCATGGTAACTAAACATCATATCTTAACCATAACTTAGACATCATATGAACTGGTGTCTCGAAGAATTAATGTCGGCATAATAGAATAGTTAGTGTAACTCAACTCTTTTGATAACTTATTTGTACCTCGTTATGATTTCAAACTCAAACATGATTGGTCCCAATGGTTAAAACTAACTTTTAATGAGTTAATTTTTTTAAATGACAAACTTGTCCTTGGACTTCTAAAATATACAAATTACTACAACTCTACAAGGATCATGTTGTAATCTCATCTTATTTTCATTTTGTTTTATTTCATATTGTATTTTTTTAAATATTTAATAACTCTTTTAATTTTTAACCACATCATCACCTATGTTTCCGCCAACACCATTTTTCCTGGCAATAATCTTTTATCCCGTTACAAAACTCAAATAAAAACTACATATTTAGGAAAACCCAAAATTAGATCTAAAACACTAAACAAAAATTAAGCCAACATCAAAATTAACTATAAAAGTGCTAACACCATTTTTTTACATATAGATCCAAAGCTCATACAATATAAATAATGATGTGCTAAAAGCTTCAATGATCATCACTAAAATTAACAAGTCACAAAACAAGGTAATAAGCATATTCGACACAATTGTACATATGTACTGTGATCAACATTTTACTTATTTGCTAGATATTTTCCTTGCCATACCAAGTTGCTCCATGGAGGTATTTTCAATAAGCAAACTCAAATCACAGGCTTGGTAATCAGTTTCTATGAAAATTTCATAACAAAGCAAACACTACATGATATCCCATAAATATTTAAATAATGTTGAGGTTTAGGAATTTTGGGTTGACTTGGTTAATCGGGGAAACTCATATCTAAATCTGATTTAACCCACTTAACCCTATTTTTAGATTTACTTTGTTAATAAATAAGTTTATTATGTTTAATATTATAAATATATATGACTAGTCTCTAGTTGGCACGGTGTCAAATAAAGAAAATAAGAAATGGAGGGACTATATGTGACTATGTGTCAAGTTGACAAAGTTTAGAACACAAGCCTGACTCCCTTCCACTTTCCTTAATTTGAACGATTTTGAAGATCCTAGAGGGTTGGAGAGACGATTTTGAAGATTAAGTTTAGGATTTAAGTTTATTTGAAGTACTTTTAAATGAATTGTGCGTGAATTATCACTAGGAGCTTAAAGAGGTATTAATCATTAGTTATCTTCTTCGTTTTATTTAACTGTGGTTTGGATTTTTGTCCAATCTAAAAATGATATTTAACTAGGAGTTAGATTGAAATTATAGTTTAGATTTATTCAATAATTCACTAAACTATCAAAAACGTTCATTGATGTTGCTTGATTTGAACTTCATAAGTTGTTTTGGCAACATATGAACCCTATATTGGTGAAAAGTTGATTTAAAGAACTAGATCACGAATTAGATGTTAACCTAACCTAGAAATGATCCTCAAATCTCTAAAGAAGTTTACTAAATTAAAATATGTGACTAGTGGCTTCTAACTTGTCATTGGAATGATTTCAAGTTAATTTGTTTATGAGATCATTTGATCGTTTTGAATCTAGATGTTTTTAAATAGATTTGGTTAGTAGGATTATCAATCTAATTCATTAGTCAAGTTTGAGATTCTCAAATGGAATTGTCATATAGAGATCTAATAGCATTTATGACTCATTAACACATTGACCTGGAGCTTACGAACTCATTATGAATAACGTGGAACTTAAACCATAAGATTTGTAACGTCCGTAAATTCGGAATAGACATTTAAGGGATAATGATTATCCATATTATCGAATAATTAAAAATCTCGAATATGCTAATTGTTCTTCATACGCTTTACGAATTATATAAACACTTATTTATTGTATACACGTTATGTGGACAAATATTATGGATATATAATATTTGTAGAAAATTTTATTATCGTTAAGCGATAAAATAACATTTTTAGATAAAATATTGTTTAGAATAAATGATCTAAATGAAAGTCGTAGTAATCATAATTATGAAGTCGTGAGTATAAACAACGCCGAAATTTGGTTTTGTATGAGGAAGTTATGACTGTTCGAAGTTCCGCGTTCAACATGATACAACGTGCGTGTCATAAAAAGTGAAATGGAGATCAGTTACTCGTTAGACAAAACAATCTAAATGAAATTTGATGTCCTCGTAAATACGAATATGTCGATATAAAGAACGTCGAGAACAGAGTTCGTATGAAGAAGTTATGAATTTCGCAAAGTCTTTTACAATGTATTCCTTATAGACTATAATATAAAAATAGAATGTGAATTAGCCGACGAAATCTAAATGAAAGTTGTAGTACTTGTCAATATAAAATTGGGGATATAAAGAGCATCAAAAAACGGAGCTCTTATGAGAAGGTTATGATTTTTCGAAGATCACGAAAAATTACCAGACGAGTGACACGTGTACCACCAAGAAACGGACACATGGAACCACCAGACGTGTGACACGTGTCCTGAAGAGAAGCCACCCTTCATCCTTACGCAATGCTAATGTGGCACCACCAAGAGTGTGTCACGTGTCAACCGTAGAAGCCTCAACAGCCACTAACCTCAACGATGACATGTCAGCACAAGAACCGGCCACATAGGCAAGGCGCGACGCATCCTTCAGAAAAGTCTATATATACTTCAGTTTTTTATCATTTTGCTCCACAACTCTTCAGTTTTCTTTCAAACTTTTCCCGCAACCCTATGCCGTCTTTAGGAGTTTTCAAGTGTTACTAGCGAAGCTCTGGAACATCAGAGAGCCCGGTGTCACACCCTCGTTCGGCGATAGAAACATCGGGTTGTGCGACGTTAGAATGTTGGATTTCAGGTCGCAGACATACATTGAATAATACACTGATATACTAAACAATGTCACTATTTATTCATTAAATAAAATATATTACAGAGCTATTCGAGGCACAGATATGTCACAAAAACAAAGTACAATAGTAAAGCACATAGACTTCGAGCTGCATCACCGGGGTTACCTCTCTCTTCATCTAACGTTCCAAAATAAGACCCAAAAATTTCATTTTTCAATTAAATAAAAACATTATCCCAAAACATCATCATAAATCTCAAAATGATCAAATGTATCAAAACACGATAAATTATCAGAGTTATCATGAAAATGCGAAACTATATCGTGTGTGCACTGCAATCACCCCGAGCTCTTACCTTTTGCACCAGAATTACCTGAAACATGAACTGGAAACCGCAAGCACGAAGCTTAGTAAGTTTCCCCCAAATACCACATACCACACATATCAAACATATAATGGACCCCGCCCGATGAGTGTAACGGGCAGGGCCGGTCCATTGGTTTTCAATGCCCAAGGCAAGATAAATAAATCATGCCCCTATATTTTAAGATATATAAAAAATAGTTATGAACTACATAAATCAAATATAATAACTAAAGAAAAAAAAATAAAGCAAATAATTAGCAATTAAATACCATGTTATTTTAGAATATATAAGGTTTCACTTTTATCTTTAGTTTTATCAGCATACCAACTTTGGTTCCAACCATTTGGAAACAAGCTACCTCATGTATCTTTAAATAGGTTGACAATTCCAAAATCTAATAAGTTGATGTTCTAGATCAAGAGAGGTAAACAAATATAATGGGTAAACAAGTAAAAATTAGTGTCCCACTTGACTTTGCCAACTTTGAACATTAATTAAAATATTCTCTTTTATAGTAGAAGTAATATTAGTTTGTAAAAACCTCATTTCCATTTGGATGCAAATATAGTCTCATAGTTTAGTGTTTTTTAATGGAAAACAATTATATAGAAGTAAAAAATTAAAAAAAAAAGCAGCAAGCTTGACAAAGATACAACGAGTTCAAGATTAAAGGATATCACATCAATTACTTTAAATATACATAAACATTAAAGTGAAAAAGAGAGAATCTTCAACGGAACAATGGCATAATGGTCAAAACTCCATATTTACTACTTCAACAAAGCACAAGAACCTATAGGAAACTCGTTAGAAATCTACAATCATCAAGGGGCAAATAAGTCATTTGTTCAAGGAAATTTCCCAGCAGCATTCATTTAAAATACAAGATTATCAGGTGCAAAAAGGTCATCAAACCACCTTTGTCATCTCACCATAAAAAAACAGAAGGCAACAGCAGCACCACCAAAGAAGCAAAAGTAGACCAGGAGTAGAGTGAAGGGCAAAAAGGTCAAATAGCCCAAATAACATCAAACTTCAAACTTCCAAATGAGAGAGATCAATGCAACTAAGGGCAAAATTGCCCAACAAAAACCAGTAGCAGTCCTTTAAATCCATCGATGATAGCAAGTATGAGGGACAACGATAGAGTCTAATTGCTTGAAATAGTGATGTCTACTCGTTTCCTTAATTAGCGTGAAGCAAGGTCGTCTCCAAGTCTTCTGATGTTTGAAATTGGTGTTGCGCGTGCTAGTTTTCTTATGTCGATGCGGTGATAACCTACTACCAGACTTACTTGGACTTGGTGGATCAAAGTTTGGGCCAAAATAATATTAGACCTATAATAAGTGGACCAAATCTTATGCCCTTATTATTGTCATGACCTGGGCTGTGGCCCAGCTCGCCCAACCCTTGGGCCGGCCCTGGTAATAGGCCCCGCCCTAACTCGCATAACGGGCCTCGCCCACTGAGTATAACGGGAATCGC